GGACACTAGATTTCTCCAGAGCAAGTGTCCCAAGAGAACCAAGCAGCAGATGTATGACCTCCTCTGATCCAGCCTTAATAACCACGCAACATCACTTCATCTTCATCCTATGGGTCAAAGCCAATCACTGAAGTTAGGCCAGATTCAAGACTAGAGGGCAGATCCCACCATATGATGATGGGCAGAGTGTCAAATAATTTGAAGTCATGTTTTAAGACCATGACTAGTATGGCCATAGTAGAAAATAGCATGGGACCCCTTCCTTACATGGCAGCCAGCCACCTGGTGGCAGGTTGATTGTGTTGGAACATTTCCATCATGGAAAGGGTAGTGCTTTGTTCTCATTGAAATATACACTCATTCTGAATAGGAATCTGCCTGTCTTCCCTCCCACGCCTCTGCCAAAAACACCATCTGTGGACTTTTATAATGCCATATTCACCACCATAGTATTTCAAACAATGTCATCTCGGACCAGCAAACTTATTTTATCACAAATAAAGTCTGCCAATGAAATAATGCTTATGGAATTCACTAGCCTTATCGTGTTCTCCAGGAGTCCTGGTATAGTGCTGTAGGATAAACACTGGACTGCAAGGCTGGTTTACATTGCAAGGTCTGTGGTTCAAATCCACCAGTCACTCCTCGGAAACCCTATGAAGAGCACTATGAGTAGGAACCAACTCGACAGCAGTGAACAACAACAACATCATGTTCTCCATCTCTTTGGAGCTGCTGATCTGATAGAACAATAGAATTGCCTTTTGAAGACTCAACCACAGTGCCAACAGGTTAATAATAATCTGAATGGATGGGTGATACTCTCTAGCCTATAGTATGTTCTATGACTCTGCCCAGAGCGAATATTCATAGATCAAAGGGTCAAAGTGGGAGGAAGGCCTTAGTGATTGACTAGCCAAAGTTTTACTTGCTGTTCCTGAAACTTTGTGCTCTGCTGATTTAAAGACATTGGTTCCAAAGACAAGAGTGTTGCCATTAGGGGACACCACAAGGCTGCCTTTTGACTGGAAGTCTAGACCAACTTTGTACCAGTGAGCCAATGGGCAAAGAAGGAAGTAACTGTACTGGCTTGGGTGTGATCTTCACAGGAAAACTGGATGGTTGTTATTCACAGTAGGCTGTTGGAGGTCACAGTAAGGCAAAATAGATGGAAAATGCAGACAATTCTAGGGACATCTCTTAGTACTTCTATATTCTTGAGAACTTAAATGGAAAGAGAACTAATTCAACACATGCAGGACTTCAAATGGCACAGAATCTCAGGATTGAAGGTTGGGTCACCTCACCACAAGGAACTATGACCAGCTGAGGTACTTGCTGGGGTTAAATGTAATGTAGAATAAGTAGAAGAAAGAAGCTATAAATACTGGTAACCAACTCCAATCACATGACCAGTGGCAAGAACAAGGATTATACCAGTGATATTTCTTTTTGGCCTTAATTTTAACATCTTTGTGTATAAATCTGTCTTTCTCTGTCTCTGTCTCTCTCTATATATGTATGTGTGTGTGTGTGAGTATACATTATACACAAACACACACATTTGTTTTCCTTCTCCCATTCTAAAATAAGATATCTCAACATTCAACTTAAAGCATATTAAAGAGGAATGTGACTTCTCTAGAAGAGGAATTGGTCGTCACCCCAACAAGGTTACAGATGGCACCTTGTGTATGCTTTTGGGAGAGAAGGATAGTGTGTTTTCAGTTGTTTAGGGATAATTTCATCAGGTTAGTCAGAAGTATACGTTTTCTTTGGTTTTGTTTGTAAGCTAAGTATTGTTAAGTGCCATCAAGTCAGTTCTGACTCATAGTGATCCTTTATAGGGTTTCTGATGAGCAACTGGTGAGTTTGAACTGCTGACCTTGTGATTAGCAGTCCAGGGAGTTATTTTACAGCCCCAAACTAGGACTCCAATTTAAATATGTTGTTGTTGTTCAGTGCCATTCAGTTGGTTCCGACTCACAGTGACCCTGAAAAGGGTTTCCGGGGAGCATCTGGTGAGTTTGAACCACTGACTTTGAGCTTCAAACTGATCTTGCAGTCCAGTGCATTAACCCACAGCGCCACACCAGGACTCTAGTTTCTGGGTAGGGTTCATCAGAAGAAGGACTTGCGTGAGGTTTGGAAAGTGGAACTGAAGCAGGATGTGGTACACTCAGGTAGCTGTTGTTGTCAGTTACCAGATATGGGAGTGCCCAGCTCGCCCTTGCTGTCCTCCACTCTGCATCTGCTCAACCTTCCTACTGCAGGTCTGAGGACCAAAGTGGCTCTGGCCCACCTACCAGGAGCATTGTCAGGGATCTAACAGGCAGCAGCTACACAGGGCCAGTGGTTTCCCCAAAGCTGCTAATTCCCACAGACCTGGTCACATGCTCCCCTGGCACTGTCCCTTCAGCACCATGGTGAGCCCGGCTTCTCCGATTCTGATGTGACCATTGGCACCTGTGCTTCAGGAAGACAGACGAGTCTTCTTCCTGCAAGCTGACCCTCTCTCTCCTTTCTAGAACTTCACTTCGCCAGCTTCTCCCACATTTACACGAAGGCATTTCTTAACCTCAGTTGGGTATTCCAGTCGAACTCTGGTGGTGCAGCAGTTAAGCACTTGACTGCTAACTGAAAAGTTGGCGGTTTGAACCCAGCAGCCACTCTGTGAGAGAAAGAAGAGGCAGTCTGCTTCCTTAAAGATTACAGCCTTGAAAACACGATGCGGCAGTTCTCCGTCCTGTAGGGTCTCTTTGAGTCAGAATCCCCTCAGCGGCCCTCTGGTATCCCCATCACGTTTACATAGCAGTTTCCCCAGTGGAACCCTGACTATTCGTTTAGCTCTCTTCTAAAATGTTGGCATATCTCAAAGGCTTCCCTAGCATCCCTATCTGAAAAGACATCCCATTACTTTTGATCCCTTTACTGTACTCAACTTCCCTTCACAGCTTTTACTGTCCTTCTGGCATAGTGTCCAAGGATCTCTGGTAGCGTAGTGGTTACGAATCAGGCTGTGAACCGCAAGGTCAGCAGTTCAAAACTACCAGCTGTTTCGTGGAAGAAAGATGAGGCTTTCTGCTCCTGTAAAGATTTACAGCCTTGGAAACTCTGTCCAGGCTTGCTATGAGTCCCAAGGGGGCTTCAAAAAGTACCCAGAAAAAATTCCATCATCTTTTAATTCAATTTTCCACGAACTTCTTGTAGCCTCCTCATAGATTCATATGCTTAATTGTTTTTTAAATATCAGTGAATTCCTAATGAATTCACTAGCAGCCCTGGTGCTGTCGTACTTACGTGCTCAGCTGCGAACTGAAAGGTCAGTGGTTTGAACCCAACAGCTGCTTCTTGGAAGAACAATAGATGAGAACGCCCTGTGGGACAATTCTCTGTCCTGTGGGGTTGCTATGAGTTGTAACCAACTCGATGACAATGGGTTAGAGGGGGGCCTAGCATTTAGTAGTTACTCACTATGTGTTTGTTGGATGATGTTGAATGCTGAATTTGGAGAAGGCTTATTCAATGCTGGTATATTGTAATCAGAGTAACAATAATATTTCCTACAAAATTTATATCAGTAGAAGTCACACTCGATTTGTTAGAAGTGGGTTTGGTTTTGGCTATATATGAAATACTTTAAAATGGTCTAGAGAAAGAAGAGGGACAGTATTATGGATTGAACTGTGAATATATGCTGTAAATCCTAACCTCTATATCTGTATTTGTAATCCCTCTTGAGAATAGGGATTTTTTTTTTGCTATAGTAATGAGGTCCTATTGGTATAGGGTGAATCTTAAACTCAATCACATTTGAGATAATACAAAGAGCTGATTAGATACAGAAGCAAAGAAGCACAAGACAGTTACCATGCCACACGAAGACTGCAAAGGACTCTAGGAATATAAGCTGAAATGAGTCAAGGACCTTACCCCAGAATTTACAGAGATAAATGCCCTTCCCTAGAACTGACACCTGAATGTAGACAGTTAGCCTCCTGAACTGTGAGAATGATGTAGAACCAGGCAATGTTTGTTCTGCAGTAAGCGGGGTTACCATGAGTCAGGAAACAGGATGGCACCTAGTACCAACAATAAACTGAGAAAATGAATTTCTGTTCACTAAAGTCACTCAGCTGTGGTACTTGTGTTTTAGTGACACTAGCTAAGTAGGGAACAGCAATGTCAAAAAGTGTGAAGAAGGAAGTACAATAGGAAGAGTAGGCTGGGAAGGAAGAAGAAGAGGAGAAGGGAGGAGAGAAGAGTGAAGACATGGGTAAAGAATGAAAGGAAGAGCGGGAGGGAGAGGAAGACATGTAGCAGGATAAAGAGGGAACAGCAAACGTATAAGAGATGCTGTATAAGGCACTTGATGTAGTTTATCTTGAGACAAACTATGAAGTATTACTCTTTAGTTACAGACAAATCCACTAAGGCTCAGAGAGATTGAAGGATTTACTGAAGATCTTTATAAAGTGATTGAGCTGGAATCCATTTTCAGGGTATTTAATTTCAAAACTGGTATCACTGCGATTATACCATGTCACCAGAGAAAGCAAACACACTTAGTGGAGAAGAGTGAAACGGTGTTTAGAATCATATTAAAGCATTTCCAGCAGATCTGAAAGCAGTTTTAACTTCTGGGCTTGACCAATTTTCTCAGATTTCAACTCAATTCATGATTTTTATCTGTGACCTATTGTGTAATCTATTGCACAAGCAGAACGTACTGTGTTTTATAATAAATGCTTTGTGTAGTACTTGTATGATTTATTGAACATTTTCACTAATCAACTTTGTTATAGACACATGACAATAATCATCTATCTCAGGTATGCATGTAAATTTTAAACTAAGAGTAGTGCATACAAACTAGGAGAGGTAAAACACTGGAATAGTAACACTGATAAATAACTCTGTTTACCCCGATATGCACATGCTCTGTACTGAGTTAAACTGGGTCTGGTTGGCCACAGCCAATGGCAATGTAGCCTGCTGTTTCAAATCAGTGGAGGCACGTCAGGGTTATCTTCAAAATCTTGATCTTCATTACTTGGTATATTTTGGGGTTCAGCTGCAACTCTTCTAGGTGAGTGTGTTTTCTCTTGGACAATGTTAGCCACATCAGGAAATGAATGCTTGCTGGGGTCTACTTCTAGCTTCTCAATTTGGTCGCTTCTGCAATGACAATGACAAGTGGAAAGGGCAAGTACTAGGACATTGTTTAAGATTAAGTTTCAAATACATTCAACTCATTCATTCATTTTTCAACAGACACTGTCAGGTGTTCTACCAGGAGCAGACTAGACAGTATGTGACACTGGCCTTTGTTCCAAGTACCTTTGAGCCTGTAGAAACACGATTCTGACATCTGAAGAAATTAAATGCTAGTAAAGTATTGCAGGACTGCACTGATCCATAGGCAGCGAGAGGAGAGGTCACCTGGGGGATCTGCTTACCAAGGGATATTTTTGATAATGGAAATGACACAGCTGGCAAAACCCCATAGCAAGGATCAATCTTAGATTTGTTCTAGATAGTTCTTATAACTCAAGGCAACTAATCAGGCCCTAGGGACCTGTTGTTTCAGACAATCCAACCAGCCATGGTTTGGCAGAGGCGTTTATTCTCCAGGATTAGGTGCATGGAACAGCTTATTCCACCAACTCCCCTCATGCAAGAACTGTTTCTGTTGCCCTCTCCCACTTCTCCCAGTAACAGCAAGAATGAGCAGAATGAGGAACAACTCCAGTTGCCAAAGATTCCCATTATCATAGCCATTTGGAGGCCCTTGTAGCTAATATAAGTACTGAGACAGTTTCTTGGTGATTCTGATGCACTATGACTGGCCCTTGGCTCAATAATCTATTTTTACATAAAGTACCCCCTGCCTAATTTTAATGTTCAAATTATTTTAGAACCACTATACCATTCATTCACAGACTCATTCAACACAAATATATGACGTTCCATTCCATCCCTAAACCCTGTCAGTTTGTTAAACTGTGGTGGTTTGTATCTTGCTATGATACTGGAAGCTATGCAACTGGGATTTCAAATACCAGCAAGGCCACCCATGGGGTCAGATTTCAGTGTAGCTTCCAGAGTAAGCCAGACTAGGATAAAAGGTTTAGCTGTTTACTTGTGCAAATTAGTCAAAGAAAACCCTATGGCTTACGAGAGAACACTGTCTGGTTCCATTGCTTTGAACATGCTATTAGTTGGGATCAATAATGAGAGGAGAAGCTAGTGTTTCATCCTGACCATGATGCAACATCTTCATCATCCCCTGCTACCAAGGCAGAGAGCTTCAGGGAGGTGGACTGGTACAGTAGCTGCAATGAACTCTGACTTGTTGGTGATAGAGAGGCTGATGCCGGACCACACAACCTTGGGTTTTGTTGACATAAGGTCTCTAAAACTCTTCCTGAGTTGTATATATGTCATTCCATTGTCATCTTGCCTACGTGGTTTCTACTGAGAAATTAGAGCTTAATCTTCTCAGTTCTCCTTGGTAGGTAATTTTTCATTGTTCCTGAACTGCTCTCAGGATTCTTTCCTTGTCTTTATTTAGTATTTATTTATATTAAATAAATGTTTTATTGTGAATTGTGTGATAGTCTACATGGGAGAACATTAGTTTTACATTCATTCTGTCATCTCTCATTTCATTGGCATTTTTACCATCCTGTCCATGCATCCTCACTCAACCAAAGGGTGTACCCTGTAATCCTGTATCCCCCCACCACAGTCCTCAGCCCCTTTCCCTTTCCGGATCCCAAGTCCCCAGCCACTCCATCTCTTGACGTCGTCTTCTCTGCCTCCATCTCAGGCCTCACTGCTTCTCTGGGTAGGATCCCGCTCTCCGCTTTTCTCCATTGGTGGTCCTAGGGTCCTCCACTCCTAGACTGAAAAGTTAATCACTTTCCTCCTTGCTACAAAATGTCCACCTTTATATTTCCAACCCTCACAATCAGTCCTGATAACAATTATTCACTATTGCATCACAAGAGATCCATCTATATTTCGTTTCATCAGCCCTTCCTGGACAGGCTGGATACTATTCACTGGAGACTCTACCTTCCTCCACGCCCTTTGGATCTAGGTTCCCTCTTGAAAGCTTGTAAGCCTAAGCCAGTCACTTCTTACCTTTGTATCCCTCCCCCCATTTTGGGTAGCCAATGTCCAAGTTGCCCATCCCTGTCTACCCTTTGTGTGGAGGGG